ACACACACCGACGTCTGGGTCCACTGCAGACCAGTGACTCGGGGTCCCGGAGCCCAGGATGACCACAGAGCTCCAGGAGTTCTTAACTATAGCGCACACACAGGCTCTGGTGTGGAGAGGAGTCCATATTAATTTACAGGCACCATCTTCCAGTCACTGTTCACTTAGTCACGAAGAGAGAAAAGAAAAACCCTCAGGGCACAGAAAACCCGGCTGGGCTTCCAGCCCTGAGTGGAGAGCCAGGCATTCTCCAAGCAGCAGCTAGGAGTTTGCGGGAGGTGGGGGGGTGGGGGTGGGGGCGGGGACAACCAAGGAGGAAAGTCGTTCGCAGGCTGTGTCCACCAAGGGTTTGACAATATTTGGGGACCAGGAGCAGGGCCCGGGAATGCGGGTCAGAGGGCTGCAGAGCTTGTCCCCTTGGGGTGGGGGGCCTTCCCAAGCTCCCAGCCCAGAAAGAGGACAAACAGTTGGGTGTCACAGTGGTGACACCGGTCTGCCGACCACCAGGGCAGGCTGTGTGCGTTTGCTGGGCTCGGCCGGGGCTCCCCGGCAGACGAGGCGTGAGGGAGGCCGAAAAAGATGGATGTAGCTCAATATGGCCTTTCCTGCAGCCCGAAAGTCCTCATGCTCAGAGTTATTCGTTTGCTTGGTGGTGAGCCTCAGCAGATTTGGTTAACATTTGTTAACATGCAAATATGTCACTTTGAGGGGCGACACCTGGGCACCGAAAGGATGAAGTTATCAGTGACTCAAAAATGAGAGTTAAAGGTGAAAAAGAAAAGAGAAGGGGAACGGGCCCCATGGGAGTTCCTGCCCTGGAGTGCTTGGTGTGGGGCGAGGAGCCCTGGCCTGCAGGGGCAGCGGGAGGTCCCCCCCCAGCCCCCCCCCCCCGCCCGACCTCGCTGAGGGAGGAAACTCCAAGATGGGGAGAAGGGGGAGTGGGCAGGGCCCAGGGCCAGGGGAGTGGAGACTCCGGATCCACTTCCACTTCTCATTCAGCAGACCGGACGCTGCTTTAGGAAAAAGCCAACGTGCGCACAGAGGGCATTCTGCCCGTGCACAGAAGGCCTGTTGCGACGGCCCCTTCCTATCTGAAGCCCGAGGCAGCCCAAGCTGTGGCCCCTCCAGCTCCCACTCTCCACCCTCCCCACCCAGCAC